AATTCACTTCCCTACCCAGTGGGGTCTATGGGAAGTTCGCCAAGTTATGGTAGTCTTTCACCCGGAACTTCCTTGTCCCATCGGAAACCTTCGACGGGATCCAGATAGAGTGAGCAATACATTTCGTCATTTGCTGTAAATTTAAAATCTGCAGGTTCGCATGGGCCCATGTTGGCCAAATGTTTGTCGAACTGTCTTCTATTGACATGGTTTATAGGCGCTTTGAAATACCGTTGATCTGCTTCAATGTTCTCGACGATGCCATCAGGTCTCCAGATGGCGATCCTTTGATGCATCGAAGATGGTACTGCCCCCACTCCATGGATCCATTCTCTTCCAAGCAATAGATTATAGTTGGCAGTGGTTTCTACTACCATGAAGACAGTCGGGCGGGTAATGGTTCCGACCGTGATATTCACTTGTATGACTCCCATGTTCGAACCCACTTTTCCTTCATAGTTTGATAATACCATGTTGTGTGGCTTGGTATGCGTCTCATCTTTTCCAATTTTGTTCAACAGAAAATGTGGCATTAGGTTCACCGTAGCGCCGCAATCCACCAAGATTTTGTTAACTGGGACCTTCTCTACTTGTGCCGTAAGGTAAAGAGGCTTTAGATGATTCTTCATCGCCTCTGTGGGCCGTTCGAAGAATGTGTTTTTCTCCTCGACGCAACCATTGTTCATCACATAGTAACATACCGGCTTATGAGCCATCATTTCCCAGTCCGTATATGTGTCCAAGTTTTCAACCACGGAAATCCTGTCAAATTCCCTGGGCATTACTGATACTACGTTGACCAAAATATCCATAGCATCATTAGATTCTTCATCAAAATTATCGGTCATTTCGTCATCGACCGATTTCCTCTGCTCTTCGACCTGTGTCGGAAACAACTTTCGTCCTATAGGTGTCTTCCCAAACGCTTTCGTTCGTCCTTGATTTTCGATAGGAACGTTGGTGCTGGACTCTGGTTGGTCCCTTTGTGCACCTTCCCTAAGTGCTTTTCTTTTTCTATGTTCTCTTCTCCATTGGGATCGAGACATGGGATTTTTCCCTTTATAATTTTCTGATACATGGGAAGCCTTTGAAGACTGAAACTCTTTCCGATAGCTTAACGAAGATCCTCGTTACACTTCGAAGTTCTTCCACCTCTTCTAACCTTGCTGCCTATCCTCATTGGGCCTCGTCCACTTTCCATCAGTGGCCTCAGCACTGGGCTTAAAACTGGTGGGTTTGTTTGTAGGAGGCCTTATGCGGGGGTCAGATATTTTTTGAAGGCCTCTTCGAGGGTCGAATCTGGGCCTTTTGTTGTCTTGCCTTAGCCTTCGTGTTCCTTCTAGCTTTTGTGCGGCCTTCTTGTCAAATATGGCGCTGCATCGGGGACAAAGCATCACACTAGAACCTCTCTCTTGACAGCGGTGAAGGAAAGAAACGATCGATTCCTCCTGCTCTGGGTATGCTTCCCTAGTGTGTCCTGGTAATTCGACTCACAGTCCGCTACATCTTCATGTTGGGTGATTTCTACCATGTTAATTTCAACTTCTTTGGCCAGATTAAGCTTCTTCAGGCTTAGCTCCACGCCTTGGGTGGCTTGATCAATTCTGACGAAGTCATCAGCAGTTTCTTTGGTCACTATTTCCCAACCCAGATTGCTCTTTTTGTTTGAACTTATGGCTTCATCCCTTTGGTCACAGTCATCGATTTCCATTCCAACACAATTCTTTTGTCCGAAGCTTATGGTAACCTTCGCCATCATAGCTTCGTCTATGGGATTATCAGTAGTTTCTGTTATGTCAATTGAAAGGTCGTAGCCATCAGTAACTTCGACCATGTTAGCTTTGACTGGTTCTGTATAGTGTGCGTCTGCCATTTGTAGAGGGTATGTGTCAACCTTCATCTGGACACTAGCCTTCTCTCCAAACTTTATCCGTCCTTCCTGGATTGCATTTTGAACAAGGTCCCTGAAAAGAAAACATTGAGACGTTTTATGACCCAAGAAATTATGGTATTTACAAAACCTTCTTTTCTTCCTTTGTTCCATGGACGACATTTTAGCGCCAGGAGGCACTATCATTTGTTCGTCTTTAACTAACAAATCGAAGATTTCATCACATTTTGTGATGTCGAAAGTATATGTTTTCTTTGGGAATCTATCGTTTTTTTCATATTCGACATAACTCTTCCCTTGTGGGGGAGCTAGGACTTTACATGAGTAAGGTGGTCCTTGCTTAAGTTCAGCAAGATCCACTTTGCCATCGTCGAAGCTCATAGGCTCATCACACAACCCTTCGACATTCTCATTATATTTGACAAAAGCTACCTTTTTATTTTTATTAAACTTAGCATTTTCGTCTTTGAGCCTTTCTAATTGCCGAACTCGATCGGCTAGTTGGGCCATGTCCCTTAGATATTGGGTATCCAACTTTTTCCTAATAGAATAGTCGAGACCCCCAGCGGCCATTTCGACCAACTCATGTTCAGGGACTTGCGTGAAGCATCTGGCTTTAAGCAAATAGAATCTGTTAAGGTACTCCTCAATTGGCTCTGAAAACTTACGCTTCACACTAGCGAGTTCCTTTAAGCTAATTTTAGTTTGGCCCATATAGAACTATTCATGGAACAAACTCTCTAACTGGATCCAATTACAAACTGTGTTAGGGGGAAGCGTTGTGAACCAGGTGAAGGCATTCTTAGTAAGAGAACTTGGGAAGTATTTTATTCTAAGGATTTCATCATTCGCTATCTCTCCTACCTCGATTAGGTAACGAGCCACATGTTTGACGGTAGATTCCGTCGTATCTCCTGAAAACTTAGTAAACTTGGGTACTTTCGTCCTAGGGGGTAATTCCGCCTGAAGGATCTAGTCTACTATAGGTGAAGTGTAATTTGGCCTGGTGAACCCAGTATTTAACCCATTTCTGGCCATAATTCTCTCGACCATGCCTGCTAGATTGTTGTCGACGACCACGTTATTTCATCGAACCTGCTGGACTACATTGTCCGCGTCTTGGTTCCGATTCACAACAACCACTCCTGGGTTTCTTTCTCCCAAGACACGGGGATGATTTCGCAATGTCTCTTCCCTAAGCACTTCGACTATAGGAGCGGCTATTCTTCCTTGGTTTCCTATGTCAATTTCTGCCATATTCCCAAGGTTTTCTCGTGGGACATCCGCTACTGCGGCTTGATTTCTGGCTAAGGGGGTTACCCTCATAAATTCAGCCAATCTTGTTAGTTGTACCACCAATTGTTGATTGGTCTGAGTTGTATTTTGGATTAATGGTTGAAAGATTTCACCCATGGTTTGTGACAAAGTCTGAACCATTTGTAGGTTACTTTCGTCCATCTGTTGTCTCAAACAAGCAACTGAGGTGTTGGTCAAATTAGGGCCTTGCGTCGAATACCTTAAGCTCTGGGTTTGGGGATTTCGACCCATGTTCACGCCTGACCCTGACCCCTGTAATGGTGAAGCCATTTCCTGATCTGAGAATATAGGGGGTGCACTTTGTAGTCCCTGCATCATAGCGGTGGGCATCCCATATGGGGGATTTCTTGGTAACTGTGAAAAACCAGGGTGACGGAAGGTGCTTCCTTTTTGGCACTGTCCCACTGGGCGTGCCATTTTGTTTCCCTTGAAAATCGGAAAACAACCGCTGATCTTCCAAATCTAACTTTGGTGACTCACATGATCGATCAGATTGATCCAAGGACATGTGCTAAAAGGCTTTTTTTTTGAAAATCTATCCAAGTTCCACACTCGAACAGTATTGGGGTAAAGGAACCTTAAAAAAATATCTATTCGACTACGGAATAAATTAAAGATAAAATAAAGCTTTCAATGAAAGAAAGAAGTTTGTTTAGAGAGAGAAAATTAGATTTAGGACGAAGAGAAAAGAATTGCATAGGAAGAAGAGGGGAAAGGAATAAAGTAAAGAAGAAAGGTGCAAAGACAATAAAAGACTTTGTAAAGTTTAAATCAAAATAAAGTAAATTTCATTAAGGTAAAAGATGGTGTGTTTACCTCACGTACATTCTCTATAATACTCGCTTTCTCTATGCTCGGATACTTGGAGTAATTTTAAGAGTGATTTGTACAATAGTAAATTACAACACACTTTGGCTATGTCTAAGACATCCTATTTATAGTAGTAAAAAATAACTTCTAATAACCTCCAACATCATCTCCTCTCGCCACTTGTCACAAATTCATGGATTGACTGGTCATAAGGTGCCACGTGTCTTCTTAAGTATTTAACAAGCAAAACCGTTCTCTCCAACTTTTGAATTTCAAATCCTTCGACGAACCATCCATAATAGCAAGCGGTCGAACTCCTGGCTTCTAGGTGAGTTCTTCGAATCCTTCTTTTAGCTGTTTTACATCTTTCGACCAATCTCTCGTTCTCAACTTACCTTTGGCCTTTTATCTTGAATTCCTTCCTTCTAAATGGGGCTTCGAAATTAGGAGCTAACAGTAAGAACATATAAATAATTGATCTAAAATAGTAACATGTTTAAAGTAAAAAATACTAATCAAGAAAGAGAAAAAGTAAATTAATTTAATGAAACAAGGATATATATGAAATTTTCAAGTGTACTTTGAAAATGATATATACAAGAAGTATAGTATTGTAGTTGGAAAAAAGCATACCAGAATCACATTTATATTCTCTAGTACAATAGGTTTTTGAGTGACCTTTTCAATCATAACGAATATCATAGATTTTTGAACACTTATCACACTTCAACTTTTTTTCCACCATGCTTTCTACTATATTGTTTCTTAATTCTTATAATATCTCCAAGAGCTCTTGAAGGGTTATGATGAACACATGAAGGCTCTGGACAAACATAAGCTCTCTTTTTAATTACTTCTTTATTGTTCCCTTGTTTCAACATCCATGGTAGGTTATGTCATATCCTGTGTAGTTGAAAGATCTTTCACTTGGTTATAAAAGTGTAGCTTGTTGTTCCGATGTTGTTTCTCCATTGATAAGGCTATGGGAAAGCTAGAGATTGTTCTTGATGCTTTTGAGAGGGAGGAATTTATTCCTTCCTTATTTGTTTTCATGGGAGACTTCTATTTTGAGCCATATACCCAATCATCAGGCTCTTTCTCAATCCTGAGGTGAGTTCCACTTGCGCTGTTTGTTATACTGGTAATTTATAAAATTGAAAATTGAAACACTGAATCACATTAGGTTACTTGTCAATAATTATAATTAGTTCAAACATTTCATTTTCTATTGCTTAATAAGAATAGTTTATTGTTATGTGAAAATTATTAGGCACTTTGACATGCAGGTTGCAGTTTGGCAGGCTAGGAAAAATTATTGCAGCTCGTTCAAGGTTAAAAGAGAATAACTGCTTTCTTTTTATTCCAGGTCCTAGTGATATAGGTATTATATTAAATTGATGATTTCTTATGCTTTTCACTTTCATCTACTAGCATGATATATTATTTCAGTGTATTTGCAGGTCCTTCAATAGTTCTTCCTAGGTGTAGATTACCTAAACGTTTAACTGAGGAGCTCGAAAAGTATATTCCTGATGCCATATTTTCAAGTAATCCATGTAGGTTGACATTATATTTAAATAGGATTGCCATCTTCATCGTCTAGGCTTTTGTGTTTTCTAGTTTTATGGAAGGATTTTCCAACTTATCAAGTACTTCTATATGACAAACTTCTAACATATAAAGTGACATGGTGCTTGTATAAATGTAAATATGACATATATGCTTAGTTAAATGAAGAATATATGTGTTTTTTTTCCCCATTCTGTTGATATTTCTACTAAAGATTTTTATTATTTTAAAAATAAATTACCTGCGAATTTATCTGTGGAACCTAAATTTCCTACGGATTTACATGCAGATGTACATGTGGAACAAAATGTTGCGGCGATTGGAACCGTCGTAATCAACAATAAAAATAAAAATCAAATGAGAAGTTACGACGGTTAGTACCGGTCGCAATATGCAGATTACGACAGTTCCCTACCCGTCATGAGAGATAACGATGGTTGTTGTGACGGTTTTGACAACCGAGGCGATACGGCCTAGCGACGCACGTTCTTGCGGCAGAGCTACAACCGTCATGACTTGCGAACTGCATCGGTTCAAAACATCGTAACCTACCAACATGAACCGTCACAAATTGCCAATTTTCTTGTGGTGTATGAACCAAAAATCAAATAATGATGAGGCATTGAAATAGATCAAGAAGAGTGAAAATAATATGGTGGATCAACTGTTGCATACACTGTCAAAAATAGTAGTTTTATCTCTGTTAATGAGCTCTGACGCTCATTGAGAATCTTTGTAGAAAATATTGGAGCAAGCTTATGTAGATCATGATGTGACTGTTAACCAGTTTGATAGCATTGTTGCCAATATCAATGCGTGTAATAATCTGAGTTTTTGTGATGAAGAATTGACTGAGCGTGGAAGAAATTATAATTTGGCCCTTTACATTTCCATGAATTTCCAGGAGGACGCTCTATCCAATGTGTTGGTTGATACCGGGTCATCGTTGAATGTGATGCCAAAGTCTACTTTATCTCGATTGTCTTATCAAGGTACTCCTATGATAGGTCCGTGATTGGAGAGGTTGATCTCCATATCAAGATAGGTCTGTGTTTATTTCAAATTACTTTTCAAGTCATGAATATTCTTCCTACTTACAGTTGTCTTCTAGGACGCCTGTGGATTCATGAAGCCAGAGTTATCACTTTGATACTCCACCAAATGTTAAAATTTGTCCAGAATGGTAAACTTGTTATTGATGGAGAACAGGCTATGTTGGTAAGCAGTTTGTCATTTTTTTTCTTACATTGATGCATAAGAGGATATTGGAACTCCGTTCCAGGCTCTTTTTGTGGTTGATAATGCTATTAAGAAGAATGGGGTGTCCATGTCTTCTTTAAAAGATGCACAACATGTAATGGAGAATGGCCAAGCTGATGGATGGGGCCGAGTCATTGAAGTTACTGAGAAAAAAGATAGAGCTGGTTTGGGTTTTACATCTGGTTCAACCTGTAAAGGGCTGAAGAGTATTCATGAGGTTTTTCGAAGTGCTGGGTTCATCCATTGCAAAGATCATAGTACAACGTCAATTCTTAAAGATGACCAAGAGGAAGAAATGTCCAATTTTGTGACGCGTGGATTGATATTCCAGAATAGGATCGTTGTTGACGTTTCTATTATTTGTTCATGTTTCAAAGTAATTTGTTTTTGTTTCTTTCAAAAAATCCTTTCACTCTGCCCAAGGTGAAAGTGAATTTGTGGGGGCTTTGTTTCAACTTTTATCATCATCAATAAAATATTATTCTGTTTATCCATATGTTATTTTCCATTTCTGCTTTATTTTTGAAAAATGGTAACATAAAAAACCAAAAGAAAATAATGTGATGATCACTTTTACCTGCATGATACTTCCACTTCTTATTCATATTCTAAAATCAAACATAAATCATTGTGCATATTGATTATTAAACCCATTGAAAAGAATGGCCATATGTGTTACTACTGCAAAAATAAGGTGTCGGCACAACAGAAGAGTCGCCACCTATCGTTATTTATCCCACAATAGGGAAAGGAAACGATCAGGAAAAACCTAGCGAAACGGGATAAGATCGGTCATCGCAACCAAATCTCGGGGTTCGGGAGTCGGTTACGCAAGGGGAAGGTATTAGCACCCCTCACGTCTGTTGTACTCAACAGGATCCACGCTTGTTGTGTTTATCTGACGGGTTGTTTATCTATCTACCTATCAAGGTTGGCTCAAAAGAAAAGAAAACGGAAAAGAAAGGTGACTTGATAGAGCGTCACTGCTCTGGGCCTACATATTCCCTTTGGGCAATGGGAGAGTCAGAGTCAACGTAGTTCGGCTAACTACGGGTAGAGGGGAGGTTGCTCGCCAAGATATCGCATCTTGTGCCTACGTACTCTTAACAGGCTTGAGAGATCAGAGCTAACGTAGTTCGGGCTAAAAATACCACAGGTTGGTTCAAAAGTTTTTAGGCCCGAGCAGGGTTAACAAGTAGTTCTAGCAGTTGGTGTATGCAGCTCGACCATTAGAGACTTAGGCATTACCGTTTGCGGTAGAACTAAGAGTTAACAACACTCTTTTTCTGAAAACATTTTCCTGATTAAAGGGGAGCCCATGGGGAAAAAAGAGGTTTCGTATTTGTTTTTGTCTTTTAGAGAAGAAGTGTTTTTTTATGGATGTTTGTAGTTCGTACTGCACTAGAGACTATGACTTAGGAGTGAATGTGTCGCATGTCACCCAAAGGGTACCATACTAAACATCCTGATTACTGGAAGGAAACCCTCCAATAACCATTTCCTAAGTGGCTTAAGGCTCGTAATGTATTGTAATAACTTGCCTTTATTACGTATTTTATTGTTGTTTTTTGAGATGAGAAAGAGAAAGAACTACAGGGGAAACTGAAATTCTACTGTTATCATGCAATATGGTCCTAGGGTTGAGTTTGAAACAGGGAATTCCTAGATGTTATCATGCAAAGGTTTCAACCTAAAAGTCTGTCATCACTTCCTTAAACAAGGAAATGAGAGTCCTAAGGGAACATGCGAGTGGGAAACAGAAAAACAACTGCCAAAATCAGTAAAGCCGATAAAACAGAAAAGCAAGCAGTAAAGATGCAAATGCAATGCAACAATACAAGCTGAGGAAGAAACTCAACCTCTAAGCAAACAAACAAAGAGAACAGACAAAACAAACAAGCAAAGGGAGGGTCACCTCAACCTTTCAATGCAAACACATCAGTTAGGAAAGGGAAAGTAACACACAAGCAGAGGGAGAACACACAACCTCTAAAGCAAACAAGCAAAGGGAGCTCAGCTCAACCTTTTAGTGCAGTCATGCTCCTACACTTAGACTACCCTAAACATGAGCTACCCTAATGCAACACACCACTCGATCATGAAAGAAGGAAAGGAATTATAACAACTAAGGAATTCATTCCACAAGTAATCAAACAAGGCATCTATCCTAAAGACTGGAATTGATGATGGGATGCATGGTGTATACCAAAGGTATCCACCATGATGTTCAACCAATCATGGATAATCAAGAAATGAGGTGATACATGGTGTATGCCAAAGGTGTCCACCATGATATTCAACCATTCATGTGAGATTAGAAATGAGGTGATACATGGTGTATACCAAAGGTGTCCACCATGATATTCAACCATTCATGTGAGATTATAAATGAAGGGAAGCATGGTGTATGCCAAAGGCATCCACCATGACACTCTACCATTCATGGAAGATTGAAATGAAGGGAAGCATGGTGTATGCCAAAGGCATCCACCATGACACTCTACCATTCATGGAAGAAATGAATTAAAATAGGAAGCATGATGTATACCAAAGGTATCCATCATGACACTCAACCATTCATGGAAGAATGAGTGAATGCAAAGCATTCAAAGAAGAATCATCTATGAAAACCTAAAGATTAGTTCTAAAGATCACTTGACCTAAAGGAGCTATGCACAATCTAAGAACTTAGGGATCACCCTAAAGATGTGTCAACCTATGAACTAAAGGTTAATGGAAAGATTCAATGCTTAAAGTTGGCTAAAAGTTCATTTATTAGGCCAAACTATGAGAAGGGGCAATTTGAAACATGTAAACATTGGTCAGACTGTAAAATGTGGGAAAAATAAGAAATCAATTCTAAAAATCCTAAGAAAAATCCTAGAGGATCCTAAATGTATTAGGGACCTATGGTTAAAGTTTCAAGTCCAAACTATAAGCCTAAGGGCACTAACAGAAAGCTAAACCAAGATGTATGCTATGGGAGATTCAAATGGAGAAGGCTCTAAAGATGTGCTCTAAAACCAATTCAAATGGAATCTAAAAAATGCAAGAAAAATATCACAATATTCTATAATGTATCAACATTCACCATACAAAAAATCAGAGATTAATATGGATTATTGAAAGAGAAAGAAAATCACAAAGTATAGCATGTAATTTTTCAATCATTAAAACATATTAAAATAGAAAATACGAAATCAATTGAAAAAGAAATGGAAAATCAAAATAAAAAATATGATAAAATTCTACACATTCCCAGCTAGCTAACACATATTTTCATGATTTTATGAAGTGGTTTAATGTTTTTCTTGAATTAAAACCTACAGCCATCAAAACAGAAAAATAAAAAGAAATGCAATTAAAAGAATAGAAAGGAGGTGCATTCAGTATTTATTCTATGCGTATTATTCCAATGGGCCGTGATGGGGGGTGTGACCAGCGAATTGCTTACTTAAGCCCAGCTATGAGAATGGTAAAACACAGCACTTTGGGTGGGAGAAGAGGCCAAACGCGGTGTGCAATCTTCGCCGTGCATTGCGATTACAAAGTCCAACCAAACACGCGATCTAACGGTCGCTACTGCGTCTGGCATTTCAAACTAAAACAGAGGGAAAGAATGCGAGGTGGCTCGCGCGGTGGTGCTGTAAATGGACGGTGGCCGGAGATGAGCTCTGGTCATCTTCAACCTCTAGCCAAAAATCCAACTTCTTTATTTTTTAACCAAAACAAGATTTTCTTGAACCAAACTCATGTATTTTTCCGTGTAGAATC